CCCCAAAACCCCAAAACCCCTATGAATATGAATGTGATGATTTATGAAATCAAGAATAAAATCATCATAAATTTGATTGGAATTAATTCCAAATTCATTGAACTCTCCTAATACTGTAATTTTAGAAATAATCACTAGGTTACTTAGCATTAGTATTTCCTACAACTATAGCCCTCTAAGATTAAGATCTCAAATTACTTTGAAGTGTTTGCATGGGATTTTGCCCTCTGAAGTCTTTATTGAAATTAGTATCATTTCCTTTCCTAATCATTTTGCCAATTATTTTATCTAAGTTGCTGTTTTTCTCTTCAGCCTCTGTTTGTGGTATATCATCTTTTTCCTTGAAGATTCTATCTCTTATTTTGTAGCTCCTTTTACTGTCTTCGTTCTTAGAAGTCTTTTCCTTAAAGCTGATATACTATGAACCACCTCTCTCACTTGCTTTTTTCTTACTCCTATTATCATCCCAATCCTTTTTCTCATACTATATCTCATCCGAGAACAGTTACTGTAATTATGTTCTAGGTGATACCACTACCTCTGCTTTGACTTCTTCCCTTTAACTCTAAGTTTACGAATGCTCATGTTTCTCTATCTTCTCATCTATCTTTTTTGAAAATTCTTTCATTCTTTTAGAAAAAGCATCCTCCTTAATTGCTCCACCTGGCTCATCATCTTAATCTTACTTTATGGCTACTTTCTTCTTCTTTTATCTTCTTCGCTTTTTCTTCATTGACCTCTCTCTTTACTCTCTAAGCTGTTTTTCCTGCATTGCCATTCTATATGCTTCCTAAGACTCTATAGTAAGTAAGTTATTAATTATAATCTTACATTGGAAGAAAACTTAGGATGGCCCTTAAGGATTGAATCTATTTGTAACAATATTCAAAAGCTTGAAATTCTTATTAGTTTTTTTCAACACTTGGATTTGCTTTTCTTGCAACTCTACAAATTAATCAACTTCTAGTGATATTTCCTTTATTGAAGAAAGGATAAAGCCTATCATTCCTATATCGCTGTCAATTTTATCAGTAATAGCTTTAATAAATGCAGCTTCACCAAGATACCTTTTCTTTAATTTTAATCTTTCCAAGTAAAACTCATGAAAACTGTTCTGCATTTTGACGAAGTAGCGGACTTTGTTTTACTTGAATTCCTTTTGGAATTTGAGATCTTCCTAATATCCTGGAAGCGATACGTTTCGAATAAGTATTCTAAGTCTATAGAAATTTGCTATACAGCTGACTGCTTTAACTTAGCACTCCTTTTTTGCGTAAATTCTATAGAGGATATTGTAGCTCTACAATTTATAAATGATATATATTGATTACCATAAAATCGCTGTTTTCAAATTTCTTAAGAATTTATAGAGATACAATTGTCATTGATACTAAAAATAATCCAACAAATGTTGATCCAACCATTATAAATCTTCCAACATGTGATCTTGGAAAATAATCTCCGAATCCAACTAATAATGTTAACAGATTAAAATTAATTTACCAGTAGTCATTGTAACAGCAACTAACCATATACCATTAGAAGCAAGTTCATAATCCTAATATCTCGAATCCGTTCTGGAAATAGGTTCCAAATCACTGTCATCATAGTAAGGTCTATATAATTATGCTGATATTATTATGGTATTACCTTTCAAACTACTAAACGGATAAACCAAATGAAATGACTGTAATTAAGAATGAAAAAGCTAGTAGCAAAAAGGGGAATTTTTTATAACTGCTTTTCAATGCAAATGTAACGTTTGCTTCAATACCGATCTTGGCGCATATTTTGTCGCTCATTTATGATCGATAGTCTGTGAAGATAGTAAAGACTCTGAAGAACAAATAACTTCTTAAATACATAATTGATGTAATCAGAGTGCTAATTGGATATCGCAACTGCTTTCCCATTTAATCTACTCTGATAATCTTATCAATATAAGGAGGATTGTGAAGCAAGCACAGAATGAATTCAAAAAATAGCTAGCGAAAATACTTTGACTATAAATATCCAACTATAAACATATTTAATATAATGAGTTTATACTGTTAGAAAGAATTTTTCTTTTTTCCTTCATAAATTTAAAGTTTAGCTACGAATGCCTGACTAAGTAGAATACTAAATTATTGGTGAAGCATTTTGATTACATAAAAAGAAAGTAGAAACTGTTTAAAGCCATCTAAGAATCAAACATGTGGAGCTTTATTTGTATCTATCTTTAGTAGCAGTTTTTGAAAACAGATATTCTTATTCAACATATGCAGACATCATTCCGATAAAAGCAAGAGCAGCTGTCAGTACTTCCAAATTTCGCAACTACTTCCTCATTTTCTTATTTAATTGTTTCTCCTTATAGATGTCTTTTAATCTCTATTTATTTATCATTCACCACTTATGCTTACATCTTAAACTTATCTCTTCATGCCTTTTCTTGGTACATAAACCTCCTCTTCTTCCATTTTTGAATCATCTTTATTGTCACTACTGCTCTGCTATTTTTTAGGATTTTTAAATCCAGATTCATTTTTGTGTTTTCTGTTACTTTTTTCTGAGTTATTTCTCCTAGTTCTTTCGCCATCCCTAGTACTTCAGCTATCAAGTTGATTTCTTGATTGATGATGATTTTTATGGATAGAAGAGAATTTATCACTTTCTGAAATTAATGCTTGCATTTTAGATTTATAAATTATTATTTGGATTTTGAAACAAGTAATCTGATTGAATGGGGTTTTGGGGTTTTGGGGTTTT